TCATAGAGATTTTTATCATATCTTGTAGAAAATTTCTATTCTCTACAAGATGCACTATAATACATTGTGATATAAGTGGTACAATAGATGGGAAAATGCTCCACACTGAGTACCAGTAGAATTAGTATATTCAGGAAAATTGTTTTAAACATGACTTTCATTTGTATAAAGTCACGTTTCATCGCCAGTAGGTCAAAGCATGTTAAGAAAGCCGTTTGCGAATAGATGGCCTATTAACAGTCGAGTCTAGCAAATAATTTTAGTAAGTAAGTAAATAATTGTATTACTGTCTGTCCGAAACTAAGCATACCCTGATGTTTCCAAGTGAAAAGAAGAAGAAAGATGGAAATTTTCAGTTTTTCAAGGAAATTTGTTTTTAAAAAATTTATTTCTTTATAAAGAAACGTTTCCTGAGGCTTAAAATTTGGATTTTTAGCCAACTTTATATAAAGAATCCAAAGATTAAAAAAAAATTATTTTTCGAAGATTTTATCGATTTTTTCGACGTGCTCACAAATTTTTCCTTCATTTATTTCTAGTAAAAGTTAAAATTGAGCGAGTTGAATATTCCGTCATTTGCTTCGCACTTACTCAATTCATAAAAAGTACCAGATGTTTCTATCAGTAATTCACGTAACACACATCACTCTTTACTCAGTGATTAACTGTACTTCCTCTCATCAACGATACTTTTCTTTCTCTATTATGCGTTTTATTTCACAGGGACGCGTCTCTCCCGAACGAAAACCACCGGCCGTAACATTTGCAGATGAAAAATGATTTTGGATGATAACTCTTGCAATATGTAGTGAAAATAAACATAAACTAAAGGAAGAACTTGACGGTTATACAGAAGAGATTGACGACATCGTTAGGGTATTCACTATCTGAAGCGAGGAGCTAGGAAGAGATGAACTACAACCTACGATCAAACGAGTTTTCACACGATGAAAAGGGAAAAAAGTAAATTTTTTGTTCATGATCTGGCGAATACATTGCTGAGAAAGGATGCCACCTTGTTGGCTATCAGATCCAAGAAGATAATTCTTCATTTAAACAAATAACATCTTTAATTATGATGATGTTTTGCTCTCTTGTGCCTTGATGCTGTTTGACAAAATTTATTATCCACTCTCATAAAGAATACCTATTCTTCTAGTATATTCCCGATTCGTCCACACATTAATTTTCTTCCTGACTGGTCGACAGTATTCTGAGCGGAGAGATGAACGATCTCTCTGTGAACCGCCGACCCTATAAAGTATCGACGCATCGAGACTGAATCATTCTACTCACTCTTACGGAAAAATCTATTGATCTTTCTCATTCTCACAAGAGAAATAATGTGTTATCGTCTCTCTCTCTCACTTCATTTCTTCAGCCATACGATAGTTTTGACTTTGTATTGTGTAAAATATTTTATTGCCTTGAAAATAAAAAGTACAATGTCCGAAGCATCTTTTTTTTAAAATTTTTTTAAAATTATCTACTATACTACGCTAGTGACAGTAATCATCATCTGAGTACGTCTTTATTGATAATTCGTTCGTGAGCACTCATATGAGTCCTACTAATAATTTTTCAGCTGAGTACTCAGAAAATACTCATCATCGTTTTATTTTACAAAAATGAAACTGTATAGAGAACTTAGAATTTAGTAAAGAAATATAGAATATTTCACGGCCTACGCATAAGTTTTGCACAAAATGTCGAGTACCGTTTTTTCATGTTCCCACTATCTGAAAGATTTTGCTTTTTTTTGTTTGAAAGAACAAAGTTTGAACTACAATGTGTATCAAACAAAATTTTCTCTTTCAAAACTTTATTGAAAAAAAATTCAAAAACTAAATGTCATTAAAAATGTTCGTGTAAATTGTCAAAATGTCCGCTCCCTATCTTCTTCGAAGCGGTTCTTTTCTTGTTTAAAGGTAAATTTGAAATTCTCTTTCGAACAGTGTGCAATAGATTTTCTTTTTATTTGATTTTCGTGAAGAAGTAATCGCTTGTCCAGTCACAGTTAAAAACTCAATTAGTTGGTATTAATTGCCAATTCTTGAATTAACAGATAAATTTTTTTCCAATTTTTCAGCTAAATTTTGTGTCTTCATTCAATTTGTAAAAACTTTATGCAAAATAAAATCTAATCTTATTTACTTCCTATTTTTATGTGACGCCTCTGCTGAAAATCCTAAATGTTAGATGCAAAATCTTGATTTTTATAAAAGCTCACTTTCAGAAAGCGATTCAGAAAATCACTAAAAAGAAACCTTAAAACTTTTAAGGAAATCAAATTGATAGAATTTTTCACGGGCTACTTTTTCATATATTGCGTCTCAGTAAAAAGTGATTATTTTTGAAAAGATTTTCTTGATATGCTTTAGTAAAAAAAATGTTGTTAAATTTTCGGCTTATCGAGGGGCTAAAACTGAATTCTAAAACTTTTAAGCAGTCCATCTTGTAGTCCATGAAATTCTCTATCAGGTGAGGTATTGCTTGAATTTTTTCGTTGAGTCATTATTTTGCAAATGGAACTTTGAGCTAGTAGCGCAGGCTAAACTAACGTTAATTAGTACTAATTAGTCAATAACACGAAGGAAAGAACAAAATTTTTTATATATTTTCTTGTAGTAAATATTCTCCACATATTTTTACATCGAGCGAGGCAAAAATGAAGTTTTTATGATGGATGGAGAATGAACAGGAATTTTTTACATAATAGTTCCTTGTTCAAAACTTAACAATATTCTTTTAACACTAGAACGCCCGGAAATTTTCATGACCTAGAACATCCAAAGCGGTCATTTTGACCGTTACTGTTTTTTTTGAAAAATTTTATACTTAAAAATTGTTCTGCATTCAAAAATGAATTAAAAATTCTGCAAAAAATAATTTTTGTGAGACAAATTAAAAGCTATGACATCATTTATTTTTAAATAAATTGTATGCAGTTTGTTTTATTAATGGTCGGTTATCATTTGCCCTAAATTCTGGTCCCCAGATTCATCCCTACATCGTGTTCTCATTTAGGGACAATTAAACAGTTATGGTCAATACTGGTGACCAAATAGGGACTTTTATTCAGCGACTTTTCGATTTAGGGCCTTTTTTTCAAATGCACACTATATCACATAGAACACAATTCAATATCATCCTCTACCGTGCTGAAATCTTTTACCGTTGAAACCAAATATCGTCGTCACGATCTCATCATAAAACCTTTGTGTCTAGTCCCTAGAATAGAATTAAAATATACTCGTAGATTGTGTTTGTAAAATCAACTGTGCTGTCAGTGCAAAAATTTTGCTCATTTTTGACACACTGTTTCATTTCCATTAGACTTAAGAACTACTCTCCCTTAAAAGAGAATGTCGCATTCAATTTCTAAATAAATTACAAAAACTAGACAGATTAACAAGATGCGATAACAAAAAGAGGATACAAAATTAAACGTCTGTATGGTGCTTGGAATCCTGTCACCAGATTTGACATCACAATGTCGCACATGCGAATAAGATCTGTGTTTTATCAATCTGGTCACTAGATTTGACATCTGGATTTGACAGAACTTCAGTCAATGACAATACGAAACATGTTTAGAGAATAGTATGGATACTGAGCTGCTATTCAATTCTGATACATATGCCATATCTTATATTTGAAAAAAAGTCCTTAAATAAAAGTCCCTATTTGGTCGCCAGAATTGACCATAGTATCCTCTACAAACTGGGAACGTTAGAAGAAAATCTAAATGCCCCCTCCCCCCCTTAAAAATGATCACTGGAAGTCGTACCTACAATACTCATTACTCACTCAGGTGAGTATTCACAACTGACTACATCCACTAGGGTATAGTTATTGTATAGTTATAGTATTGTCAAAATTTTTAAAAATCACATTCTGTAGTAGTCTATCAATTCAATGCTGAAAATTGTTTGAAGTCAACAGTATTGTTCTCTAACTTCCTATGTGATCGATTTTTTAACAGTCGTGGCGCAATGTGGCGTAAGTGAAAATTGCGCGTAAATACACTATCCTGATCGCAGTCGCGATTTTTTTTTATTGCTACTCTCAGAGAGTGGCAATAGGCATTCCGTTTTTTTTATTACTTGCTCGACATCTGTGCGCATCTGCGCTGTTGCGATCACAATTGTAAACACGAGACTGCAATTCGTCGAAGCAATGCAATCATATTGCGGCGCAAGTTTATGGCAATAGAAAACAGAAGTTATCTCTTTTTACACCGAAGCGTATGCTATGCACCTACGCAATTTTCTTCAGCAGAAACTATTTTTTTCTCCAAATTAGCTTTTCTATTCACTAATGTCATTAGGCATCTAGCAAAAATGAAGATATCTCTTTCCGCACATGTACATCATATATATCTAATCTCTACTCTTTTGCTTCCCTTTTCTTTCTCGTTGCTTTGCGTCACATGCGTGGCAATGTTTGTGCACACATATCTTGCGCGAGAAGAGCTATCTCCTTTTTTGCTGGATGCCTATTATGTATTCATGACTATTCGTGGTCCATAAAGTTCAGTTCAGTACATCATAAGGAAGAGATTTGGTAGTGCACACGTGACTGCCACGTTTTTTGTTTCTCTTTCTTTGATCTCGAAATGAGGAGAACAAGAAGAAAGATTTTTATATATATAAAGTGATTCTATGTTTCTTTTCTGTCTTTCTCTATTACTTGTTTTCTAATAATGTACCATTCAGCCACGCGACTAGGTCAAAACCAAGAAGAAAAAACGTGGTAACAGACACACTCTTTTTCTGTCTGCTTGTACTACTATCCATGAAGATTGAGGTAAGCGTGGTAGAATTGTAGTTACAATATTGTTGATTCCATAAGTTAATCCAAGTTCAGATCATATTCTGAGCAAAATTAAATTGATCATCTTCAAAATCTACGGACTCTCTTCTACTCATTCATTCATTTATTTATTTAAACTTACGCATTCGAATTTTGACATTGTAGATTTTATTTTACAAAGTATTATGGATGCAATTAAAAATGCTGTCAATGTAGTTTTGGGCAGAAAGCCGTCTGGATCAAAAGTTCGCTATGCTGTGGTGGGTGCGGGAAATATTTCTCAAGAGTCCTTTATGCCTGGAGTTGGACAAACTTCAAATTCTATTTTGACCGCTCTTGTTACTGATGATAACGAAAAATATGTTAAACTTGCCAGACAATATAATCTCAAAAGTTATAAATATGCCGACTTCAACAAACTTTTGGATGAAGATGTGTGCGATGCTATTTATATAGGCACTCCAAACTGGATGCATCAAGAATTTGCTGTTCCCGCTCTCGAGAAAGGTAACAATTGTAACATTGAGTTTTGAATAACTAGTTTTCTTCTTCGATTTAGGATATCATGTTCTTTTGGAAAAACCTATGGAAGTAAACGAGGAGGCCTGTGTTGCTATTAACGAAGCTCAAAAGAAGACTGGAGCTAAATTGATGGTTGCATATCGTCTTCACTTCGAAACTGGAACTTTGACCGTCCTTGATCGAGTTCGAAAGGGTGATTTGGGCGAACCTCGAATTTTCACGTCTACTTTCGTTCAAGTTGTAAAAGAGGAAAATCATCGGGCTAAACATGGTGCGTAACTCTTGTATTTAGATAACATTATTCTTGAGACACTGCTGACTCTATATCGTAGGTTATGATAGTGGACCAGTCCCTGATTTGGGTCCATATCCAATCAATGCTGTCCGAAATCTCTTCGGAATGGAACCAATTGAAGTTTCAGCTGTTGGATTCAAGACTCCAGGTCGAGAAGCTCTCCAAATGGAACATGATACCGTCTCCGTCACGTTAAGATTTCCTGGTGATAGAACGGCTCAATTTACCGTTGGTTATTCTGGAGGTCCAATCGATACTTATACGATCGTTGGGGATAAAGGTTAGATACACGTTATTCTTTACGTAAACTAATGAAAATATTTATAGGATACATCGAAGTAACTCCATGTTATATGTTTGGAAGTGGAGTTAAGATTGCTTACAAAGCCAAAATCGAAGAAAAAGAAGAATCAAAGACATTCTCCGAAGTTGACCAGTTTGGTGGAGAAACGGATTACTTTTCCAATTGTATTTTGAAAGATCAATATCCGGAACCGGATGGCGAAGAAGGATTTTTGGACGTTCGAGTAATCATGGCTATCAAGAAAGCTCTTGAAACGGGCCAGACACAGAAGTTGGAGCCGAAACAACGATCGAAAAAACCTACTCTGGATCAGAAGAGAAACTTATCAATGGCATCAACACCAAAAGAATTTATCGGCCGTGATGCTGATCATCCAACTGAAACGTGAAATTATTTCAGAATATAAAAAATATTGCACTTGATATACATGAACATTAAGAACTTTTTTACCCATTTAAGCTTGCGCTAAATAAATGAACATACGTCATATCGGCTTCTAAGATTTCAGTAAAAATAATCAAAGTGTGCTATTAAGAGAAAGCTTTTTAGAATCTACTTGATTAGATAAGTGTATTAATGTCGCACGAGATAAGAATGAATAACTCTTATCATTTTATATATGAGCGTTGAAAAAAGACGGGTTTTTGAAAGTTACCGAATAATAAAAACATTGTTCAGGCTATATGAACGCGAAGATAAATCAGCTGGTGAACATTTCATATAAGTGATGCAGAGACCCCCAATTATTGGATAAATTTCTATTTTTTCATCTGTAATTTTAAGGTTTCGAGACAAATCTTGTTACAAACAAAGCTAATCTTCATTACTGGAGAATGTACGATATCGTGATCTATACTTTTAGTAGATTAATCCGCATCATATACAGTAAAAAGACCTCAGGATAGTGTTGCATTATTATTTATTCATTTAGAGTATGGAAACTTTTATTCAATGATATTTTTTCCAACAAATGATACAAGAAAAGAATCGTCAAATTTAAATATTTGAGACAGTTTACTAATCGATAGTTATATAACTGTCCAAAAGATCATACACGTATTAAGGACAATTTTGAGCTTCCGAAATGTTTTCATGAGCTAGACGAAATAATCAGTAAAAGCCAGCTTCACACAAACAGTATTTACAATTGCTTATCGTCAATTTTGCTGACCTAATAACAAGACTTTTAAAAAAATCTGGTCGACAGGGGACGAGTAAACAAAAAAAATTTAAATCGAAGTCAGAATAGAATTGTAGAGTCAGAAAGCTTGCTCTAACTATCAGCCATCTAAATAGAGAATACATGCTTCTTCTTTAAACCTTAATGATTTTTAATGTTCAAGTGTATAGGCAGATGCAAAAGAATCAAGCTCGAAAGATATTTATTTGAATTTATTCGTTCTATAGTTAGAGATGTTAGTGATTTACAGTATGCATTTTTTCTATAGAGTAGGCAGACATATCCTGTAGAATTGGTATGAAAGTCTATAAACACGTTTTTCTATGGGCTTTCGAGTATACCCTTTCCAATGGTGAGATTTTCAAAACTAAATAATTTCTTGTGAGTTTTCTGAAGACCGGATCTTTGGAAAACTCATAAAAAATATATTTATATCTCAAAAACCTCACCATTGGAAAGAGCATGTTCGAAAATCTATAAAAAAAATGTTTATGGACTTTCGCACTATTGCTAAAACAAATATTCAAATGCCCAGTAAAAAGGACAATGGACGGTTTCTACAAGAAAACCGCTCTGTATATCTTTGAGAAGATAACGACTGGAACTGAAAACATTTCTGAAGAAACTAAGACGTCTCCGAGCTCTCTACGATATTTTTTCGTGAAACAGCATGCAATTTACGGAAGGCCCCATACTAGTAGAACTCAAGAGAAAACAAGAAAGGTACGACCTTACAGCCTTCCGTAAATTGAATGCTGTTACACGAAAAAATGTCCTAGAGAGCTCGGGAACGTCGTATTTTCTTCAGAAATGTTTTCTCTATATGACGGAGCTATTTTCAACGCACTTCTAGTTTTCGAATATCTTGGTTTGCCAGAGACCCTGGTTTCATGAGTTTTTCAAGGAGGTAGGCCACTGTTCCTTGATTTTGATTTGGAATTGTTTTTCGACTTAATTTTGATCGCATTTTATAAAGAAAGCGATTTTACACATTTTTCAGTTTATCTGAGCCTTCATAACCATACAAAGAATTTTTAAATTAACTTTTTTGAGGTGATGCCCAAAGTAGTCTTTTTCCTCCAGCAGCACAAATAGATGACGAGAGACTTTACAACTCTACCCCCAGCTAGATAGATATTCTATCTATATTTATATTGTAAAATTTATGTAATTTGTTTAGAAGTTTACAAGTAAAAAAGTAATTCAGGAATGATGAGTAATACACGAATTATCGCAGACATCTTCTTTCGAGCATCGACCATTTCTCTATGAACAACGACATATATTGCGATTGATTAAATCAGCTAGATACATGCGCAGTTCAGCATTCGAATGATATAGTATGAGTATGCTGCATAGTAAACTCATTGCAGGTAATAGCTGAAAGAGAATATATACTAACTGTGAAACCGACTGATCTGAGTCACATACTTGCAGAACGAACAACGGTCCCCACCCACACATAAACACGATAAATTTTACGATGAACACTTTTAACAGATGAACGTCTCGGTCAGAGTATTTCACCACTTGCCGTTGTTCGCCACTATGATGCACACGATTTGCTGACTTTCGAACAAAGCAGAAAATAGCCATATTGTTCGTTGAGATGATACAGACGGGGATACACAACGTGAAGAGCAGTGTATACACTCTCAGCAGCTGATCGTTTTTGTTATAATCGCTCGTACAAGTGAACGAAGATCGAAAGAGATACGGCAAAGGAAAGACATAACCTAGAGTCCACTGTGCTGCGAGACAAACAATCAACCAGTTGAACGTTTCAAAAAAGTGTTGGCGGGTCGAATAAATGATGGTGAATAGTTGGTTAATCGATACAACACAATGAGCATACATCATTTGACATGATGAACTGTTCAGAAGAAAAGCTTGAACGCGACACGGAACTACATTGCTGTTACTGCTGCTATCAAATTTCAACGATGTAAATGCGATTAACGTTGCTGATAGAAGAGTCGACGCTAGACAAACATTCACTGTCAATAAATTGAATCTATTCGTGCGCAGTGGACGGTTAGAAAGCATAACACTGACATACACCGATGTAGCCAAGATGTTGAGAGAATGTATTGCATTCACTAAGATATTGAATATAAATGATAGACGCTCGTACCCCTCAGAGTTCACCATGCTTTGTGAAACGGAATGTGTGAGAGAGAAGACGGAAATGTGTGATACATCAAATAGAGGATTGAACACGCACTGCATCAATTTGGAGAATAAACGTCAATTATACCTAATCTGTCTCATTATTCTATCCTTGACGTTTATGAAACTGCGTTTGTGAGAGTGCATGCGATGGATACATCGAATCGGAGGTGGAAAAATTGAAGAAGACATTGATTTAGAAATGAGACACATATTATAACTAGCGCAGAAAGTCTTTTTGATTACTTGAATTCGAACAATGATAAGAAACAAAATGTACGCTAACGTACTATAGTCATGAGTTTTATGTAACTTCCGCCAGCTCTCACAGTTGTGTGAGTTTGGAAAGTTAACATTTGTGGTGGGTTTATATTTGCGTTTATATTTGTTTTTTCAAATTCTATGTAGTTAACTATTACAAATCAGTCAGTGTTGTTCTGGAGTTAGTTCACAGAGAATTTACCTAAAACAAACATCGATAGCAGTGACTCATCAATAAAATTTTGCTCAGGAAATGGTCGTTATAGTCGAAGTACTTTTCATACTAGCTCCACAGCATGACGGATTGATTTGCGAAATATAATACATATAAAACGTTCGTTTATGGACGACGAGGGCAGGTGACGCCAGTCTCTTGTTAATATAAGAAATGAGGAGAAGCACCAACTTGATAGAGCCAAGAGAAAATGAGAGAAAAAAAGATGATGTTAGAAATGAACTCATTCTAGGAACGTTCTCGAAAGAAGCACGATGAAAATAATTATTTTTCTCCTTTAAATCGCCAAATCTTACTAATATAACATATATTTTTTGTTATGATTAGACGCAAAGAACGGAAAAAACATCAATGTACGTCTTTTAAGGATACTCTTAGGCTTCGGAAATTTGGACTATAGTAACCAGAAAACTTTGATTGATTTAAAACTGGTGGATATTAATTCAGTAGGCCGTGTCAGCAACATCCACAACCCTCTTAAAAGTGAGCAAAAAGTATGAAAAATCTCTTAAAAGCCTAGAGGAAGGGCCACCCATTCCATTGCGACATGACACTACGATACATCATTTTTTAGTGTATAATTTATAAAATATATTCATCTTAATTAATGTTTTCTAAACAGTAACTTTTTGCAGTGTATTTGTTCGTAAGCAACGCATTGTCAAGATCGTTTCAACTTTATAAACAAGCTGTCATAATTTGATTTCTAACGTTAAAAATGACTGTCACCGTTTATAAAAACGTGGAAAAAGTGCGGCAAAACTTCTATATAATAGTTCTTCATATACTTCTACGGATCGAAAGAACGGTAAAAACCTGTTAAAAATGTGAATATAAAAAAAGTTTGCATGTCACGCACGTCTTATTGCAAATTTAACGTTTTGTTATTGATGAATGTCAAGCCATTTTCGATTACTTGGAGGATACATATATTGGTGTGTATGCTGATTTGCATCTTTCGTAATATTCAAAAATGGTCAACCTCATTGTAGTACAAGAATAAAGTCTATGTGTCCAATTCCTTTTTGGAGTCTGTATAACCGCATGTTAAATACTCATCTGAAACTTGTAGAAAAGTCATACTTTTCAATTAACAGTTATTGTGGCATCGATTTACTTGCAGTTTTTCAGCAACGACTCCAGATTTTTTCATTCGAGAGCATGTTACCTTTTGAGTCTTTTGAAAAAGCCAGTAAGTGTACAATATTTGCAAATTTTTCTTGTATATGGCAGGCATCTGTGTTTTTGTTGAACATTTCAGTGTTATTGAAATATTAGTTTTATGATTTTAATCATGTTTAATTAAAACCATTAATACTAAATGTTTTTGGAACCGATAGACCCCTTGTCAAATAATTTTGAATCGTTTACGTACCTATTTGGACGGACGCGTCTTTGAAAATTAATCCACACCACGTTAGGCGTGTTTTTCAAGTATCACTTCAGCATAAAACAGGAGAATTTTCACATTTTAGCCACGCTAGGGGATGCTTTATCAGGATTCTTTTCGTTTAACAAACCCAAAGATCATCTGACATGAATGCCTAAAGAGAAATATAGGCATACCAAAAAAATAGCGATAGATGGAGATCTCAGATTTGAATAGATTACTAGAGTCGAATTCCTTGATTCGAACCCACCTACTAATGTTCAAATTTAGCAGCATAGAATGTAAACCTCACCTTATTTCACTCGTAAGTGCACCATTTTCAGATAGCGATTGGGACATGTTCCTTTCATGAATCGATGTTCATCGGTCTTGTCTACTGATTACTAAAATCCGAGAGTTTCTCCCATTTCTCATATCGAGAATTATTCAAAAAATATCGGAGCTTATTGTATCTTGGAAACGATCTTAGCAGTCAGTCTAAATGCATTTAACAACAAATCTCACTTTTGGTGAAAATTCACCTTTCACACCATTAATAGATCAATACCGACAGTGTTTGAATTTATTGAGCCACATTTCAGACACCCTTTCTTGCTAATTATGAGAGAGGTTGAAAAACTGGCTTTTTTTGCGCCAGACGTATCGAGCGGAAATAATGGGAAATGAATAGTGACTATCACTTTCACATTTTCTGAAAGTTTCATCTTTATACATACGCTGGTTGCAAAAATAATTACTTTTACAGTTGGCACTAAGCAAGTAGCGATATTCTCATTGAACGTAGCATAGCGCTTTTGAACTGGAGTAATACTTTTGAAGAAAAGGCAGTGTCTAGCATGATTCTTGATGACTGAAAGCTTTTTAAGATGTTTAAGTAGGTTTGGCTTGGTGTTTTGAGTGAACTTTGAGTAAGTGTAGTCCTCTTTTGTTGGTTAGTTACACAAGAGAAATTATCCTAAATGGCAGTTGTATCCTGTATAAGGAAAGAAACAAGAAAATATAGTTCAACTATAGAGATCACAGATACCACTTACATTTTTCTTTCTTGAAAAAATTAGTACATATCCATTAGAAATCGGCATAGTTTGAAACTTAAGCATAATCAAATTTTCGGCAAGTGTTTGTTCGAAAAACTGTTAATCATGAAGCGTGAAAACCACGGATCCCAGATCGTCTGATTTTAGAAGAAAAAGTCTTATTTTGAGACTTTTTTCTGTCTCGTTTCTTATTTTTTTATTTTTGGAATTTTTTCCTATTTTAGAATCTTTGTTTGATATTGAACGAAAATTTGATTTATAATCTTTTTTTCGAAAATTTTTTATTCTATTCTACTTTGTATTATATGACAACAAATAACGTTCTGATTTCTAACTTGTTTTTCTTATTTTTGTCTGATTTTAAATTTTTCTTTGCTCATTTCCGTCTTTTAGATCTGGGATCCCTGGTCAAAACGATCTTATTAAGTGCTGGTAGTGAAAAGCTACGCTTCAGCCACGTCGTTAGACTACTGCTACTTTTTACGTCGTTAGTTGATTTTCCTAATGGAGCTGTTTTGCACTTTATTCATATCGTGTAAAAACCTTCCGATAGTTTGTGTTAAACGTCATGTTTAAGCTATATTTGCTTCAATTTGCTTCTTCACAAAATAACAGAGGTTAGGTTAAGTTATTAAAAATGTTGAATTTGTTGAGGGATAATAATTTTAATATCTGTATGAGAGTAACCTCAGCTGTTTTTTAATGTTTTAAATTTATTTTGGTTTTAATCAATCAGAAACTGTATAATATGTTTCAAAAGTACAACTTTCAATCTCAAGTAACACAATCCTAAACCGTTTATATATCAGAAAGAATAAAAACGAGTATCGATAGTAAGAACGGTAGAGAGACAAATATATATGTTTCACAGACACTAACCAGTGCTACTGAAAGTAATGAAGAACGGTATATTGTGTATAATAGACTAGTATAAGTGTATAGAGAGTGGAGAGATAAAATGAGATGTAGATATATGAGGATTAAAATAACGTAGGCTGCACAGTAAAAGCCCAAAAGAAGAAAAGCTCCTAGAAATGATATCTGATTCGATGAGTAAGTGACTTTTTAAGTTTTGGATTCGTTTTGTTAGTTATTACATCCTTTCAGATGCATTTATTCGACTGAAAGTTTGTCTGAACATAACAACATATAAAGCTACTTAGACGACAAAATATATATTCTGATTTAATCCGTTTGTGCTCACTGTATCTTTAAAGATACTGTGGCGAATATCTAAACAACCAGACTTAGGACAACAATGGTTCAGATATCATTCTAAAGGTTAATACATAATCTTGAACAACAACAACTGAATTAAAGAATATTTAAGGAACACCTGTTTCAACAACTAAAATAATTTTAGTAAGTTAATTATCTTTGTCAGAGTGATTTTTTTTTTCAAAACACTTTATATGAATTGCTTTTTTACAAGATTTACAAAACTTTACTAACACAACATCGTGTGCATTTCCGTTGATTAGAAAGAAAATGTGCTGCAGCTGAATGTGAAAGACGAGACAATTAGTGACTTTTCATCATTCTAAAGTTATATTATAGCGATTTTATAACCTATCGAAAGCTGTTATTGAAAGATATTATCTTCTTGTTGTGAACTTGCTGAACAGAAAACTTTAATTTCAAGCGATAGAAAAAACTTGGACATAGACGTGTTAAATTAAACTTATTTTAGATAAGTTATATGCATATTCATCACAGACTTTTTATTATGCCCATAACGCTACAATACTCATTAGTGCCACTCCCATATATAATGAGACATAATATAATATTTTTAATCTTGTTCTAAGTACGTAAAATGTTCGACTATTAGAAAATTCCGCGGCGATTAAATTAACTAATGCGATATAAATAAGAATTCCAGCTGAAATTGAATCAAATATTCCGTTGACTAGTAATGCAGCAGTAGATTTTGGACTATAAGTGCTTGCATGAATACCTATTCCAATAGCTATGCCAATAGGTGTTGTTATTGCAAAAAAAATGACCATACATATCGCTGGTAATAATGATGTTTGATTTAGTCTGGCTATTTGTGCACCTAAAGCAATGCCTTCAAAAAATTGATGAAATATAATTGCAATAAATAGTGCTACAAATTCTGAACCATTTGTTGTTCCTAATGCAATTCCAATTAGAATACTATGGGTTGCTATGCCGATTTCTAATAAATATGTACTTATTTTATGTTGTTGTGATTCTTGTAATGCAGCTCCATGGAAACAACCCTCATGTTCATTGTCGAATTCTATCTTTTCAGCCTCTACTTTTACTATTGTGGATTTTTGTTGCTCTTGAAATTGGACTTTGTGGTCTTGTTGATCTGTCTGATGATCATCATGATTACAACATTGTTCGATTACTACTGGTGGTTCCGGATTCGTTGATACATCTACTTTGCCAATATTTCGATATCGTTGATGGGCAATAAATTCAATTAATTGCATTGTTAATACAGCTATCATTGAAAAAAGTCCAGCATAAGCACCGTAAACTTTCCACGAATTAGGTAGACAAGAATCAGTTAACGCTTCCATAGCCGTCGGTAACATGTGAATAAAGCCTGTTGCTAACACAACACTATAAAAACGATAAGTCTATGTTATTTATTGTTTATAGTAGGTGACGAAGAAAATCTTACCCCGATCCAAAAAATTTTCCCACATTGATTATAATCGGATTTAGATGAAGAAATTTAACCCGTAGTGTAGCAACTGACAATGAGGCCCCAAGAAATGATGTGAATAAAATAACAAAGATACTTATTATACGCAATGTTGATTTATAATCAGCATTAATTTCATCATCAGATAATACGCATAAATCTGATTCTGGTGTTGTTGTATCAATCTTTGATATCATTTTTTTATTCCATATTTTTTGATCAGTTTGAAAAATTTGATTGAAAAGACAAATAATGACAAAAAGTAAAAACTTATTCATCCTCTTAATGAATATGATAACAACGACTTGAATCCTAGAGTTTGTCTTTATGCTTCTTAAATTTCTTTTCGTTCGATATCTTGTGTGTACCGAATGCTACTATATACTTATCCGGTAGAAGTTGCAAGACTTCATTCTTTTCTTCATTTATTAGCAAGAATACTTTATAGTTATTGTATTTTATTGCTTATTGTTATTGTACTTTGTTGTTGTTTTTCTTCATATATAATGTGTATGATGACGCTATAAAATGAAAACAGAAGAATTTTTTTTATACTTCATTTATTATTCCAAATTCAATACATAATATAATATGTGAGGAGATAAAACAGAGTAACTGTAAAAAATATTCATGCTAATAAATGATGAAAAGAATGCTGTACTGCGTCTTCTATCAAAGGACAGCACAACCTCTTCACAAGCAGTAATAAATAATCGAAAAATGATATTAAAATCTTATTTAGTTTCGTAACAGATCTTGTTCTACCAAATGATTTGTTTTATTCAACAGTCCTAGCTCTCAACTTCAATATTGCTATAAAATGCTTTTCTTCGAAGTGTGTACATTCACAGAAAAATAAATTTATAATTTATATTATTATATTATTATTTAGAACACTTTGTCCATGGGGAAATTTTAGTAAGTACCACGGTATGTACACGCGTGAATATCGTGAATTGAATTGTGATCGCACGTGAACATCGTAAAATGGTGTGTGAGCACGCGTGAAAAATATATTTCACTTGTGACAACGGGTAAACTGGTCACGAAAACGTTTCGCGTCATATTTTTTGCACGTGATCATAGGTGAAAATCGTGAATTTCACACAATTTCAATTTCAAATCGTGAATTTTGTGAAACACGTGAATTTCTCATGTTAAAATTTCCGTAAAAAAATATCACTTGCGCGTGAAAATGTTTCCCACTAATTTCATTGTGAGAAATATCTTCACATTTATTCGCACATCAGTTTTTCACGCAACTCATTTCGTGAATAATATTCACGCTTAACCCCTAGTGACAAAATTCTTACGTTTAACGCGCGTCCATGTGAGAAACCTTTTACAGGTGCGAAATGTCGTGAAGATTGAGCGGCAAGCATAAATACAAATTTCTCCTATATCTTCCGAAAATTGTACATATATACAGATGAAAACCTTTCCTGTAGGCCGAAGGTATTTACTGTAGAAATATGCGTGGGAATCATCTTGTTCTCCGGGAGGAAGTATTAACTAAAATAGTTTGGAAAAGTTGGAAACTAAGAAAAACAGACATCACCTATTTTTCTAGAGGATCTTCCTAGGCGTCAATTTCACATGAAAAAAGTTTTAAACTTTTAATTAAACTAAAACCCAATAGTTTTTTGTGTAAAATGCTTATGACAGAAGCTCACGAGTAATCACGCGTGGTAACTTTTTTACACGTGGTAACTCGTGAGGATTGATTCGATAACTACGAATATGAGATTTATTCAGTAGTTTCTCAGGCAAGTTAGCTCAATAGTAGTATCGTAGATTTCTAATTCAAAGTACCCTGGTTCGACTCTTACTTTGCGGTGACATATATAAAATGTGATATTAACCGCACTAGTCACCTTACCATCTTGTTTCTGTACCACTATTAAAGAGAAGAAATAGAACAAAGACTTGTGCCATATATAAATATATATATATGTCGTGTGCAGT